GAGTGGACACACACACAAGAACTGCTAAGGAGGCACCTAAGTGAGGAAAACTCCACTCTAGAACTTTAACATTTTGAATCTTCTTTTTGTCTAAGAAACTTTCCATAACATTTGTTTTATGAATGTAGTTTCTGTGTTAAATAGGTGCTTCCAACAGCTCAGCTGTACTGATCTAAAATTTACTTGACTAACTCCACATCTCTCTGAGCATAAGGTCTCACTCAACTATTAGGTCAGCTGAGAGACTTCTCTGATTCCATGATAGTCCTCTGCTCAGCTATACTTACTCCCCAACAGCGACTTTGGTATGTATCACTTAGCTGATGCAGTTCTGAAACCTGTCTTTTCTCATTCCTCCTTTCTCATTCTGCCTCTTCCTCTCTGTCTTTCTGTGTCTCTATCTCTTTCTCTCTCTGTCTCTGTTACTATTTGTCTGTCTGTTTCTCCCCCCTCCTTTCCAACCCTATTTTGGCTTATGCTAGTAGCTGCGCTCCCACCTACTATCTATAAGAAAATAAATTATGTTTTCCTTTAATCATAAGACAATTCTTATGTCTATATCACTCTAGTATACTCCAGTGTGTCACATTCAAAAATCAATAACAACCTTCTCAGAACTCTGAGTCAGAGTAACCTTTTTTCCCAGAACTCTGCAACCAACTGCTACATGTGAAAGGGAAGTATCTTACAATAGAATTGGGGTAAACTGAGCATGTTTGTTGGCAGAGAAAAAGAACAAGTGGAAAAGGAGAAATTAAAGATGTTGAGATATTGGAGAGAGGGAGGGGAAGAGATGGAGGGGGACAGAGAGAAGGAAAGAGGGGGGAGATCACTGGAGTAAGATCCTGGTTGAAAGAAGAAGGCATGGGATATCAACTTTGCTTATCCAGGAACTATTAGCAAAGAATATCAATACGTTCTTTTCTTGGATGTCCTTCTAGACCAGAGGCTTGTTCTTGGGACACATGCTGTGTTGGAATCAGAAATATGCAAAAATAAAGTTTTCATCTTCTAATTTTAATACTTTTATCTTAGCCACCTACTCCAGATTTTTTTTCTTATCTGTTCCAAGGGAGATGTGCTCATTGTTTACATGGCCCAGGGTTTCATTCAGGGGTTTGCAAATGAACAGACTCTGCTGTGCACTGTTTGCTTTTTACCACCTCCTTGGGATCAAACAGAAATGAAGAATTCTCAAATTAAACATAGCCTTATGAAACAGCAGCTAACAGCCACCACTGAAGTAAATATGCAAGAGGACTAGGGTGGTATTTGGGTGGTATTTGGGCTATGTGAAAGGATTTGGGTTTGCTCTTTTCATGTGTGGTAGAATAATGAGCTATAAAGAACATTCTGTAGAGGCACACTGGGCAAATCCCAGGAAACCTTGGGCAGCTTTAAATTGATGTTATTTATCTTTCATGTTTAAACAAAGTGGGATTTTTTTAAAGGATGGAGAAAGGGCCTAGTAGACAGCCTACACTACTTGCATAATTTCTAAATAATGCTCCAATATATGATACAGCCTTATTTTGTTTAACAAAGGGTCTTTAGAGTTGGGCATGACCAGGTACAGCTGGTAAGGATATGTGGAGGGCAGAATGTATCCCACGTAGAGTTAAGATTCCCTAAAAAGCTTATTTATTAAGCCTGATAATTCTTTTTAACATTCAAGATCTAACTCTACACTGTCCTCCCAATTTTTATTCCAAACCATTTGTACTTAAGCATACCATTTTGTTTTTGTTTCAGGGATTAGTATTTTGGACGCTTCTTTCGGTTGAACATAATTTGATTAATCACAGCTTTGTGGACATGTGCCTCCCCTGGGTTGGCATTATGAAAAACTATGTGAAACTTAAAACACCTAGCTGCTCCAAGGAAGAGTGAGAGGATTACAAGTTAATCAATCAACAAGAACTGATTGGGTGCCTATTGGCTAGGTATTGGGGATACAGACAAGGATGAAATAGTAACCTGCCCCAAAGGACCATACTTTCTATTAAGGGAAATGACATTTATGAATATGTGTAGCACCCCCACAGGTTTACTTTCCAAATCCCACTAGCACTGGCAGGCTAAAGGTATTTTGTTTTTTCCAAGCATTATGGCCCACAGATCCTTTTCCATTGTTCTCTCCATCACCAGCCACTTAGTGATCGGTTATTGTTTTTCATTCTTGAAGAGGACCAAAATGACACCACTATGTTAGCGTAAAGGTATAGTGTGCCCACAATACTGTGGTTGATCAGACCAATACCAGCCACTTAGCCATTAACCGTCATCACTCACATAGGCTCTAAGGTATGCCAAGAACTTTACCTATCTTATCTTATTTGATCCTCACAACAACTCTGTGAGGGGTGGGAAGGAAACTGGTCACATCTAAAGATTAATTTGTCTAACTGTGCCATAACTGATCACTGGAAGAGTAGACTTTCTAAATGAGAGGAATGAGATGCTATAAAGAATCAACTTGTACTTTTATCTGACCTCTAGCAATTCACCTTGTGCCTAGATAAGTTCCAACTTGCTTAATTTCTCCATCTCTAGTCACAGTTTCATCTGGGGAGGATATACGATTGAGAATTCCTTTCTTGATAGCGTGATGCTACTGCAACCTGCAATATGCCCGTGCTGACATAGTGTATCTACTGTTTAGAACAGGTCCTGAGAGGTCAGAAGGCTCATTCTGGGCCTGACTTTTGACAAGGGCCTAAGCTAACTCGTTTACCTTCCTGTGGTTTCAGTGAGCTCTTTAAGAAAACTGGCATCATCACGCAATTTGTTCTTTCAACTCCAACTTGGAAAAAGTATTGAGAAATGCAAATGTGAAAATGGGATAACTGGATTTTACTTTCCACATATAGAACACTGTTTCTTTAGTATCTTCACTCTCACCAAGGTAACTCCTTTATCCAAAAAACAAAAAAAAAAGCAAAAAACCAAAACGCTTGAAGGGGCAGCTAGGTGGTGCAATGGATAGAGCTCTGGCCTTGGAGTCAGGAGGACCTGAGTTCAAATCCGGCCCCAGATACTTGACACTTACTAGCTGTATGGTCCTGGGCAAGTCACTTAACCCCAATTGCCTCACCAAAAAGCAAAAAAACCAAAATCAACAACCAAAAAAAACCTCTTGAAATTCACTTTCTCCTTTGTGACTTTGCTACCTAACTGGAAGATAGCAAGCAATTTCCCCCTTTATGCCATCCTTCATAAATATGCAAATCTCCAAACTGTCCTTTCTCATCCATTCCTCCAAAATACACTGATGTCATTATTTCTTTCTATCCACCGTAGCATCTAGTATAGTACTTATGAATAAAATAAAAACAGCTATTAAGCCTCTGTTGTATGCAGCGTACTAAACTGGTGGCTGGGGGAGATGAAAAGAAGGACAGAAGGGAGGAAAAAAGGAAGGAAGGGAGAAAGGAAAGAAGGGAGGAAGGAAGGATTTATTAAGTACCAACTTGACACCTACTATACACTAACATTATACAAACCTGACAAATGTCTAATTTGTCCTTCACAACAACCCTAGGAGGTAGGTGCTATTATTATCTTCACTTTACATTTGAGGAAACTGAGACAGATAGAGGATAAATGATCTGTTCAGTCACACAGGTGGTGTCTGAGGCCATCTTTGAACTCAGGATCACATACAGAACATTAAAAACCCATGGGATCTTTCACCTGCTCACTGGGACAGTTCCGGAAGTCATGAATTTAAAAAGAACATGAGGAAGAAAAAAAAGAGTCCTGTGATGTCTCTGAATTGCCATGGGCAGAGTTAAACTTGAGCAGTAACCTGAGCAAAGTTATAAGGGCCAGAGTTGTCAGAGTAACTAAAAGGATGAGTGTTCCACAAAGTTTCACACAAAAATGTGACTGATATTATAATTACATAGATGGAATAAAGTAGACTGTTCAAATATTTTCATTTTACAGGGAAAAAAAAGCTCAAGCCTGGTGAGAAGGCAGAAGTAGGAGCCAATGATTGAAGTAGTAGAGAAAGTCTACATTTTGTATAAGAGAAACTTCTAAATAATTACACACATACATGGACACATATGAGTTGGCTTCATCAGGAGGTAGTGGATCCTTCATCAATGGACATCAAGTCAAAATAACGATTAAGTAACCATTTGTCAGAGCTGTTGAAGTAGTTCTCAGTCAAACACTGATTGGCCTAGATGCCCCTTTGGTTTTTTTCCAACTCTGAGATTCTGTGATAAGTTAAATCTTTCACAGAAACACATGTGAATAGCAATGGTGTGAAGAATGAAAAGGAAGACAATCATATCACTGGACAGTTTGGGTTGCCTTCCAACTTTTACTTTTATATACTCACTGTACGTATGTGTATATATACCATATACATTTATGTTTGCGCAATAATACATATCTACATATACATATGTGGGTGTATTGTTAACACGCTGATATTTCTTCAAACATAAGGGAGAACTTTCTAGCAATTAAGAAGCTAAGAAGAAATGTGGGATGCCTCAGAGAGGAAGTGAGCATTCTGTCATTGGAAGTTTTCTGGCTAAAGAGAGATAAACACTTATTTGTGATGGTATAAAGGGGAGTCATGCCTTCCATAAGACATTGAATTAGATAGTTCCTACAACTCTAAAATTTGTTGAATCCATGATCCAGAAGAAATAGCAAAATTCAGCCAAGCCTCTAAATCCTGTGTCTAATGAATCCAACCAATCTGGATACATAGATACCCCTTCATCTTTGACATCAGTGTGTTATTATCTGAAGTTTTGGTGTCACCTAGACACAACCAGAAATTATTTCTTCTGAAAGAGAGAGATTAAGTGACTTGCATAAAGTTAAATAGGCAGTAAGTATCAAAAGCAGAATCTGAGCCAAGTTCTGACTCCAGCGTCAGTGCTCCTGTGCAAAAACTGTCATTGACCTCAAATCCCATGTTTACTCGACTATACTGTTTAGATGGAAATAAGCTCACTTGGTAACAGGCAGGTGCATAGAATGAACACAAACCAGTTTAATATAAATGTGCTTTATTGCAGAGAAGTTATATTATTTACATGCTGCAACACATCACAACATAAATCTACCAAATATTTCCTGTTGGATGCTGTAGGTTGCCAGATAATAGTTTTAGAACCACAGAATAAAGTGAATAGACTTACAGTGATATCGACTCTACAACTCTCAGGAACTACAATGCTAGAAGTCAAACGGCAGTGTTTTCTCAGTCCTATCTGTCATTGCTTGCATGCAGAAACCTAAGGAGCAGATACAAAAGTGCTGTTGATTTTCCAATCCATATGGCCACCAAAGCGTACAGTGGGTTGAGTAATTTATTCATGTCTTACAGCATTTAATTCTTGCATAAAACATACAAGTCTATTAAGGTTGGCATAAATCTATTTACTCATAAATCTGGATTAGAAACAAAGGAGCAATGATGCAGCCCATACATGCACAGAAGGACAACCTAACAAATGTTTGTAATCTCAGTGTTTGTTGACTTCTCATGTTGATCGATTTTGCTAGCAAATGCTTTTAGTTCTAGATTGTAATTCTTTTGGCTGAATATTATACTGGTGGAGAACAACTGTGGGTCAAAGAATGTTACATAGGTCTAATTTAGCATGTCTTATTGAAGCCACGCCTCTAGCAACATCAATCCAATGATGCTTGACTTCTTTCTTTTTAGAAAATAAGTTGCAATAAAACTGAGGCATATGTGAAATGACTCATTGGGCTCAAACCCCACTAGCCTAGGGAGAAAATAAAACTTTTAAAAAATAGTACTTTCAAGGTCATCACAAGGGCATTTCTTGAGTGATCAAGTGATCCTAGGGGAAGGGACCAAAAAATAGATTTTCTTCATTTCCACTTGATCTTGGCCTACCAACCTGAGTACAGCAACAGACAGACAAATGATTACACAGGGCACATGGATAGCGGGTAGGGTAACAGAGAGGCCCCTACGTGAGACTTGTTCTGAAACAAAAGAGCTGGGGAGACTTTAAAGGTAAAGGAAGAGAACTCTTGGTTCCTATGCTATCCCCTTAGGGATAAGATTCTTCATGGGCTTCCTGTTTTCTGCTGGCAATTCCTTTGTTCTTTTCTCCCTCTTGAATTTTGTCCATATTCCCTGGTTAAATGAAACCCAATCATTTGGGTTAGAAATGAAAAGGGCAGAATAGGCACTTGACATACTACCATGTTTGGAATAGGCAAGGTGATGTCTGTTAAACTTTAAATTAAAATACATTTTCAAGTTTAATTTTTTCCTAATAAAAAACACTAAACTTGTACAGGGAAGCTACCAAGGTCATATTGGCAGCCAGAAGTCAGACCAGAGCCCAGACAAAGAAACTGTACACCTAGGACAAGGCTTGAGGATTATAACTGGTCTCTCCCTTGATGTTAGTCATTCAATCAACCAGCAAGCATTTATTAAGGACTTACTATATGCTAGACACTATTGCTATCTCAAAGTAACTTTGAGCCTTCAGTATAACACATGGGACTTTAATTATCACAAAATAAACCCCTAGATATCCTGGAGAGCAATTTTCTGGCATTAAAATATGTGCATTTATAAAAAATAATATAAAAATGTCCCTTTTTGCCCCTCCCTACGGCTTACACCCTAGGCAATTACCTTGTTTGCCTAGCCTCCGCCTGGATCTTAGCAAGCTAGTGTTCTCAGCACTCCCCAGTCCTATGGCCATTACAAAAGAATGACTTTTAGAAAACATGCCAGTGGAATGTTTTGTCATGAGGCAGAGTCTTATTCTTTTATTATTTCTCCAGTGCGGAAATATTACAATGGGAAGCCACAGGATATGGAACTTTCCCAGGGTTTAAGAGAATGAAGGTCCAACATCATCTTGTTGCAATTAAAGTAGATAGGGTTCTGAACCTAAGATTGAACTTAAGAAGTGGTATTCCTACCTGAACCAATGAGGAAGTCTAAAGTCTATAAGGTAGATGAATTGACTTTACATTCAATATGCATAATCCGAAAATATCCATGAAATTATCTAGATGCAAGCCCAATTTTTCTTAGCAGTTGTTTAAAAAAATAATCACTTGAAAGAGCTATCAGGGAATACCTCCACGTCTTTCCTCTGAAAGGCAGATTCCCTGGTTCTATAGTGTAGCTAGAACTAGAATAATGTCATTCCTTAAAGTCTTCTCTTTCCAAAAAAATAATAATTTAAAGCATATTTTCCTCACCCTTAGCTCTTCCTTTAGATAGGGATGCTAAGTATGAAATACTGAGAAAGATAACAGTGACTGACGATTAACCAGAACGATTGGTTTAATGTCTGGCTTGTAACAAACAATGGATAAGTTGTCCTTAACTCATTGAAATATACAGCTAATTAGGACCACTTGATCTCCAATATCAGCAGAGCTTCCGAGTGCTAACATAGAAGTGCAAACCAAGTAACTTCTCTGCATAAAAACCTTGAATAATACCATATCAAACGAGGATGTGAAAAATAAGAGTCAAACCCAAATTCACAAGATAAATCACAGCCAAAATAAAAAATTATGGCCTCCCCCACCAGGGAAGGCTTGCTGAACTTCTAGAAATGAACCAAAGTTGTAGATAGCAGTTATGTTGTAAGGTGCAATAACAATTGAGTATCTGGAGATTGCATAAACATGTTGTTGTGTCACATAATATCAAAGTTATTTGCAAAAATTATACAATCTGGAATGCTTGAATGTGAGACACAACAATGTACGGAAACATACATTTAGAAGAAAATGAGAGCAATCAGTAATATAAAATGTATTTTTGGGATGCATTAAGTTAGCAGTGCTATCAAGGTTAAATGAGTAAAGTGAAAAGTTCATTTCAGTCAGCTGCTCAAGGATATAACTTTACTTCATTTCTTAATTTTTTACCAAACATTTTCTATATGATTTAGAATTCCCTCCATTTGTATCTTCAAAGGTAAATTTCAATGGGGGATGGGGAAGGGCAAACCTTAAACGAACATTTCGTTTAAATACATAGTATCCCAAAAATCTTAGTGTTAAAACTGCACTAAGACTTTTGGGACATGTTGTATTTACATCTCTTCTCTAGATTATTACGGAAATTCTTTTAGAGGTGGGGAGGGGGGAGAAGTGGGAAAATTGTCACTCTGATATTTATTCCCAAGGTATCTTCCATATCTCCAACTCCAAACTCCTCTACCCTGGTTGAAACCTTATTGTCTTCCATTGTCCCTCCTTGATTAACAAGTTCTCCTTGGGAATTCTCTGACCTTCCTAATCTTTAGTGGATGGTGACATCAGGGTTTCTTCTTTGCTCTTTTCTTTTTTCACACCATTCATTTATGGGCATGTACACTTTAAAAGTGTCCTAAACCTCTTATTTGCGGAGTGTTGGTGTTTTATTTGCACTTAAAGCAGAAGAGGCCAAAAAGGTTACACTTCTCTCAGCATTTGGTAAGCCTGGGGTCTCATACTCCCAGGGACACACCTCAGCTCTGGATGTTAAAGGCTGCTGAAAGTTATTACTTGAGTCAAAGGAGGCAGATGAAAGCACATTTCCCTCAGAGAAAGATGGAGTTTTTTTCTGGTCTCCTATTTGGTTGGTATTTTCTTGTTCTGCTTTTGATGCTACAACTTTTGAAGGCAGTTCGTCATGTTGACCCACACAAACCTTGGCTGAAGGATGTTGACCACCATTTTCACCTTTCCCACCCCCAGGGAGAAAGTGAGTCTTAGCATTCAAATGCTGTTTTTCCTCTTCAAAAACATACTGTTCTGGGCTCTCCCAAGGGCACACTTCAGACTTGTCAATACTTTTTTGATTGGATTGCTGATAGCCTTCATTGGGTTCAGGCTTGTACTGAGATTTCTCCTTTGGGTGGGGAGGGATGCTTTTCTCGATTTCAGAAGCTGCAATAGACACATGTTTCTGAACTTTCGATTCTGAAGGCACAGGACCTGGTGTCAAGTCATAAACCTCCCAAGGACACACTTCCCCAATGTCAAAGTTATCCTTTAACAAGCCTGGGCCTGTTTCAGAATTGGCAGTGGGTGTACTCACCCGCTGTTGTTTCATAATTCCAGATTTGGGAGGTTTCCTTAGTTCTTCAGAATGAGTGGAATTTTTCCAGGCAGAATCTTTAGTCTCTATTTTATCAGGGTTGGAATGTTTTCGGTTGAACTCTTTGCCTTTGAGTGGTGGTTTGGGGGATTTATCATTTTCTTCTAGGCCTTGAATTGATGTTTTCCCAGTCAAACTAAGAGTCTTCTCCTTGGCACTTGCTATAACACTGAGTGACTTTTGTAACACAGATGTTCTCGGATGCCCAGGCTTCTTTTCTGAGCTAAGGTTGTGAGCACTTGCTGACTTACACACCAAAGGGACTGACTCAGTGGATGAAGCCTCCATGTTTTCTGTAACCCTCTTGTTGACTTTTTTACCCGGAAGGGAGTCCAGTAGAGAGTTCTCTGTGGTCTCTACTTCATTTTCTGTTGGTATACTATTGGACTCTTCTGATTGGTCTCTAACATGATCATAAGTGCTGTGGGACTTTTTTAAGGAGAAGACCCGGTTTTTCAGAGACTCTTCCTTTGCCTTTACAATGCCACTGGAGGACTCTTGGGGGTTTTTCCTCACAATGACAGCATTTTTGGTTGCACTGTGGTCCATGACCTCCTTATCCTCCTTAGAGCATTGTCTGCTGACTGTTTCTGGGATCTCGGTAATGCGCCTCATGATGGAACGGCCAAGGCCCTTTTTTGAGCACCGCTTTTTCTGGAGGTGTGGATTATTTGTGATCATCTTCTTCCTTTTATAGATTTCCAGCTGAGCATAGAGTTTCTTTAGCTCATCCTGAGAAAAGATAAAAACCAGAGGGTTACAAAATGAAGGCAGTCAACTAACCAGGACAGTAAGTGTGAGTCAAATTAGACAGATCTGAACATTGTAAGAAAATAGCATCTAAACAAAATACCTTATTCCTTTTTTCTACTATATGGTTCTATTACAAATTTGTGTTTAGTTAGACACTGATCTTCAAAAGAGAAATAGTTCAAGGCCTCACGTGACATATATTCCGTACTTATTTTTCATCGAGCACCTACTTTGGATCTGTCTTTACTATGTTCAGGATTGAATTTGGACCATCACATTATGGACTTATTGATAACACATAACCAAGCACTTCTTCGGGCAAATTATGAAGTTATCCTGAAAGTGGTTCCCAAGATATTAGATTTAGGTCAGATTAAAAAGGTTTCAAAAATACTGAGTAATCACACAGCAGATCATCTGCCCAGAAGCAAAATTCTTCCACTAGTTGTTATCGTAGCCTGTTATGACCAATTCTTAATAATATGGCCCTCCATCCTACCCGTCTGACAATAAGATATAATATTTAATATAATGAGATATCTCCTTACAGTCCCTGGACACAAGGCCAGTTTTTACCTTCACATCCTATCCATCCATTCATCCATTTACCCAGGCCATGTCATCATCTTCCTACTGCTATTAAGCTGCTTCTCCCCATCAGGCCTAGCACCCCTCACACTGGACCTGCTGGGAAGGACTTTCCTGAATCCATGCCCTAGACCGTTAGAAAGTTAATCCACTTCTTTTTAGAGTTCCTGGCCAGGGCCCTATCCATTTTTGGGGGACTAGATTTGTTCAAACTAGCCCACTATGTCTATAGCCTGATCCTAGACACCAGACAAACCATCCAGACATTTGTCAAGGCCATTTCACCCTCTCTCTGCCCCCACGTGCCCACTTTTTCCCTCCATAGAACAAAACTTCATTTTGGCCACCTCTCTCTTATAATAGTGTCCTCTTCCACTATTCAATGAATGAGGTCCTTGAGGACAAGAACAATTGCTTTTTAATCTTTCTATCCCCCATGCTTAGGACAGTGTTTGGCCGGAATAAACTCTTATTCATATAATTATATATTATTCATATAATGATAAACAAGAATTTTAAAAATCAGCAAGCACTTATTAGCATCTTTATACAAGTCCAGTTGAACTTGCTTTCTTGTTTTTTTCCCCCCCACACACATGGCACAATTCCCATCATCACTTTGCATTGGATATGGGTTGGTCCACTTCACAAATGCTGCTCTGCCTTATTTCAACTCTAGTTGAAACCTAGTGTCTCACCTAGTGTTTCCCCCACTGTTTTCCCACTTCCTTTTGGGTATTCTCTCCCTCTTTAGATTGTAAACTCTTGGAGGGCAGAGATTGCCTTTCTTTTTATTATTCATATTCCCAGCACTTAGCACTGTGCCTGGCACATAGTAGGTGCTTAATAAATGTTCATTGAATTGGATTGAACATCTCTCATGAGTGAAAAATATTCTGCCTCCTCATCTCTTCCTGTTAAAAACTCTAAACCCCTTCAAGACTCAGATCAAGTGCTTTCTTCTGTTCGAGGCCTTTCCTGATTCCTATAGCTGATACTTCCTCCCTTCCACACCCCATTACGTCTCCTCCAGTAGAATATAATCTAATTTAAGGAAAGGACTATTTCACTTTTGTCTTTGTACAGCCACATAGTAGGCACTTAAAAATGTGTTGATTAATATATATTATGTGCTAGGTACCATACTAGATGTTAGGGATAAAGAGACAAAGATTAAACAGTCCATGCCCTGAAGGGTGCGTATTCTAATAATGGTAATGTGTACATGTATAAATTCTGATGGCCAAATCAGGTAAAATATTTGTCAAATCAATCAAAAACCAGTTGGTCTTTTTGGGGACTAAGTTGGTTATTATAATGATTTTGCCAAATGATACAGCTGAGTTACACTGTAGTATTATTTACCACGAAAAGAACTTTCTTTTGAAATTTCTGAGGTTTCATAAATTAAAAATAAGATAAATTTTAAAAAAGAAAACTTTCTGCTGAGTTGAAACCAATAACAATGCACATTTTCTAGATATTTTGGTATTGTGTGTGGTGAATAAATACATGCTAAGACAGAGAATTCTGGGAAAATGATGGAGTAGGTCAGGAAATTCCAAGCGCTCCAGATTTCCCCCACAAGAGAGATAAAATGGCACTTCAGGGCTGACATAGACTGGTAAAAATAAATAAGACTAGGGGCAGAATAGTGGTCCTCCTGGGACAATCTGAAGATCTGTAGAAAAATCCCAGGACAAGGTTTGGCCCCTGTGAAGAGTAACTACCTCCAGGCTAGTTCTGCTTAAACAAGTGGCAAGCCCTGGGGTTAGCTGGGTTGAGAAGGTGCCTGGGCTCCTGTCACAGGAACTTTTACCCCGGGACAGTGAAGGGAGTTGGGTGTCTGAGCCCAGAAGGGAACCTCTGCTAACAAGGAGCACCAGCCCCAGCTGTGCTGTGGACATGAGGCTCTGGGCAAAAAGGAACCAGCACACACTGCAGAAGCAGTGGGGCAAGGATGCCACTGGCTGTTGGCACTTACTGGAGGCTGGAGGTCTTTGTTTCAGTTTCAGGCCAGAGGGGAGAACTGAAGGAGGCTCTGAGGCCAGAGGCACCATACCCCATCCCTCAGGGCTAGAGGTGATTACAAAAAAAAAAATAATAAGGCTGCCACAAATACAAAACAAAAATGTGCAGGCAAAGAAAAAAATAATTCAACCATAGAAAGTTACTATGGGAATAGAGAAGACTGGGATTCATCTTCAGAGGAGGATACTGAAGCAAAGAAACCCTCATCTACCTCAAAGAGTAATGTCAAATGGTCACCTGCCCCCAAAATAATTCACAGAAGAACTTTAAAAAGACTTTAAAAATTAAATGAAAGAGACTGAGGAAAAACTAAAAAAAAAACAATCCAAGAAAAACAAGATTATGAAAAGAAAGTCAACCAATTAGAAAAGGAGATCCAGAATCTTAAAGAAGAAAATGACTCCTTGAAAACCAGAACTGGGCAAGGGGAAGCCAATGAAGTCATTAGAGACCATAAATTAAATAAATAATAATAAATAATAAAACAAAATATAAAGAATGAAAAAATAGAAGACAATGTGAAACATCTCCTAAGAAAAACAACTGATCTGGAGAACAGATCAAGAAGGGAAAACACAAGAATAATCAAACTACCTGAAAGCTATGTTTAAAAAAGTATCTTGATACAATTATACATTAAATAGTTAAAGAAAATTGTCCTGAAGTATTAGAACAAGAGGAAAAAGTAGGAATAGAAAAAATCCACTGATCACTACCTGAAAGACATCCTACAAGGAAAACCCACAAGAATGTCATAGTCAAATTCTAAAACCCCATGCTCAAGGATAAAATATTATGAGAAACAAAAAAAAACAATTTAAATACAGCAGTGCCACAATTAGACTCACACAAGATCTACCAGTGATGACACTAAAAGACCATGAGTCTTAGAACACTGTATATCAAAGAGCAAAAGAACTGAGGTTCTGGCCAAAAATATTATACCCAGAAAAGCTAAGCACAATCTTGAATGAAAAAGACATGGATATTCCATGAATTGTCAGACTTTCAGGATTTTGTTAAATGAAAAAAATATCTCAACTTAATAGATTTGAAATACAAGAAACAAGAGAAATATAAGGTACATACCAAAGACTATTTACAAAGGATTCAATAAGAACAGATTGTTTACCTTTTTTTATGAGAATATGTAAAATATATGTCTAAGATTGTTATTAGTAATTGGGTAGCTCATAACAAAGATTGGGGTAGACCTGAGTATGATATGATTTTAAAAAGTAAAATGATTTAGGAACTGCTGAAAAGAGTAATTATCTCACAGAAATGAGGTGCAAGAGGAAGAACTGATGCAGAGGAATTAGATGGAGGAGGAGGGCAGGTAGTTCTGGAAACCTACTTTCTTCAGAAATGGGTTTAAGAGGCAAAAATACATATATATCTAGAAGAGTATAAAAGTTTTCTCAATTCAGAAAGAAATAAAACACTAAGGCGATAGGGAGGGGGGAGAGGATAAGGGAGGGATCTTTAGAGGGGAGGATGAGGGAAAAGATTAAAGGGGAGTATAGAAAGGTGTTTAGATTAATGGGAATGGGAGGATAAGGGAGGGATCCTTTGAGGGAGGTAGGTTAAGTAATAGGAGGGTAAGATAGCAGGCAGAAGTAAAGTAGAGGAGTCAGGAGGGATAGGAAATGAGAGATATAAACAAACACAAAATAAAGATCAGGAGTGGTAATCATGATCACAGACAAAGTTAAGGCTAAAATAGATTTAATTAAAAGAGAAAAATAGGGAAACTATACTATGTGTCAGTCATACTCATCAACATTGTTTTGGACTGTTTAAAACAACTAGACAGTATAACATTGGAATATTGCTGTGGTACAGAAAATGATGTGTTACTGGACTTGGAAAACTATGCAAAGACTTGAACTTATGAAGGAAGAGGTTATCCACCCTTAGGAAAACAGAGGACAAATAAGTATAGTACAGTCTTATGTCTTGCATATGAATGTATATATCTATATATGAGTATGATTATAGATATCTCAGTATATGTATATGTACATACGTATATCTTTATATATATATGTCTCTACACACATATGTGTATATATGTGTGTATATGTGTGTGTGTGTGTGTGTGTGTGTGTGTGTATATCCATGCTTAATTGTAGCTTTCTGGAGTTGGGGGGACAAAGAGGGGAAAAACAAAGTAAAAAGTGCACAGAGAGAACAAAAGAAAACTTGTAAGAAGGCAAAGATGGACAGCTCTCAACACAATGTGTAGTATTTATTACATAGGCTTTCTTGAAATGGGAATTTATTGCTATATATTTTGAATCCTCTCTCACATTCTGCTGTACATCTGGCAGTGCTTTTTTTTCTTTTGTATTATTTTAGTTTTAGTATTTAATTTTGCTTATTTTTTCTTTTATTTTGCATTTAAGTTTAAAATAAAAAAGAACAAAAAATAAAGACAGAAAACCTGTCATATAACTATTTTCAACATTGAAAAAATACATGCAAAGAAACATGAATCCATACGAAAAGATGTTATCTTCATTCATTGAGATGACCGGTCATTTGATTGTTATTTTATGTATCTTGATTTGGAAAAAAAAATAGTACCTTTAAAATAAAGAAATTCCCATGTTTGGCTAGTTATGTTGACGAAATTAATTACTAACATTTTATTTATACCCTAAAATATACACAGGGATTTTAAAAAATAGATGATTTTTGAATGAAGTATAATGAATCACATTATTCTTAAAAAAAAAAACAGAAAGGATTTTTTGTACTGTTAAGAGAGAGAGAGAGAGAGAGAGAGAGAGAGAGAGAGAGAGAGAGAGAGAGAGAGACAGGGAGAGAGAGACAGAGATGTCCAAGTGTTTGTATCATTCTCTGATTATTTTCATTCTACTCATCCTTTGAAGTGAATCTCCAATCCTATTTGCTCTGTGAAGTCTTCCCAGACCATGTAGGCTACAAGTGATTTCTATCCTCTCTCTGAACTCTTAGAGCATTATCTTTTACACCAGTCATTTGGCCCCTAATATCATGCTTTGTACTGTTATTTTTTTTATTCATTTACTTAAATTTGATCAAATTATGTATTTAAAAAATAATTTTTATTTAGAATAAAAGAAATTTCTAATACATATAAACCCAAACAAATCAACATACATTCTTTTCTTCTCAAACAAAGATTGGTACTTGCCATATACACCGACTTTATCTAAAATATGGAAAAGATCAAGACCAAGGTTACCCGAATATCCTCAGGGTCCAAGCTGTGCTCACTCCAAGCTGAATTGATACTGCTGTTCAGGTACGATCCTGACCGGCCCATGTCAAGTTCATCTTCATATGCTTCTGTTGCTATATCATCTCTTGGATTATTGCTTGAATGTGAAAACTGCCACAAGGAGCAAACATGAGGTATTTATTTGACTCCAAATTGAAGAACAAGACAAAAAGTTCTTTGAGAAGTTAGGGTGAGCTATATGTAGTAGGAAAGAACACTGATTTGGAGTCAGAGAACCTGGAGTTGAATTAAGGGTGGTGAATGAGGTCACCTGTGTGTCTCTGCACAAGTTGCTTCACATTTCACCTGGAAAATGAGCAGGTTGGATCGACCCCCAGGGACCCTTCTGGATCTAACTGTGTGCTCCTGTGATCCTCCAAAATGCCCAATATTTCTGCTTAGGTGCCTCAGGGTTGGCAGTGTGGTAGGATGGAAAGAGAACTGAGCTTGGAGTCACAGGGCCTCAGTTCAAATCCCAACACTGTCACTTAGTGTTATGTGAATTTGGGCAAGTTACTTGGTATTCCACACTAATGAAAATCTGGTCTTTGATGTTCATCAAGAAGAGCCTCATCTAAGCTTTCTGTGCATTCCTTCTTCCTGGATCTCATTGCTATTATTTACCCGTGGCTTCTTGGCAGAAGGAAAGTGAATCTTAAGATTTGCTGAGACATTAGTGAGGATTATTGATGAGAGATCATCTCCTTAGGGTATGTTGTTATTGCTCTTTAGTCATTTTCAATTTTGGCCAACTCTTCCTGACCCCTTTTGAGATTTCTTGACAAAGATACTGGAGGGGGTTGCCAGTTCCTTCCCTAGATCATTTTTACAGATGAGGAAACAGGGTTAAGTGACTTGCCCAGGGTCACACAGTAAATGTGTGAGCTAGATTTGAACTCAGGTATTCCTGACTTCAGGCTGGGTACTCTATCCACTATGCCACCTAACTGATCCTCTTATGATTATTTATGTTTTGAGTAATAGAGGAAAACAAACTTAAAGGACTGAATCTTTAATGCTATATTGTGGTGCCTGAGGAGGGGAGACATTTGCAACCATAAGGGTCTTCCTATTGTCCTTCAAATTATACTACATGGGTAATGATGAATATCATCTGAGTTTAACATCAGTCTTTAACATAGAGTTTTACCATAATAAAGGACAAAATATAGGATTTTTCACCTACAACCTACAGCTGTGGCAAATATCAGCATACGAATTTAATGCTGGACTGGTGGTCCACAGGTAATGGTTACAATCCTGGCTTGGATATTGGTGTCATCTGGAACAAGTCACTTTGTGCTTCTTTTTACTCAACTGCAAATTTAGGGTATTGTACTAGATGAGGGCTCTCTCTCTCTTTCTCTTTCATTCTTGTACTCATTTAATTTCTAAAATTCCACAATTCTATGCAAAACTCCAACCCTTAAATGTACCTGCATTAGTCAAATGCCTTAGCCAAGGAAAGAAGCCACAGACTGGAAGATAAAAGTAAGTAATTACATGAGATGTTAATGTCTGGTGAAATCACACTAGCAAATCTTTATTGAGCATTTACTATGTGGGTAACCGTGGGCCAATGAGGTTTTTTTCTGAGACTGATTATCTACAATATGTGATGACTGGATGTGAGAAAACAGGAATGAGTAAGTAAGTGAGTAGGTGAGAGGATTTAGAGGAAAATCAGCTAGGACTACTGTGAGTCTCTCTTTATGCTTTCAACTAGTAAATGGAGTTTAGATTTAGAAGAAAAAAAAGAACAGCACATCAGCAAAGTCACTAGAAGAGATATTTTTATACATACAGTATATACACACATCATATATATGTACATATAATATAGGTGTTAAAGATCTATTAATGTATTCAAATATAGTATATCCACTTACATAGAAGAAAGTGATGGGATGTGATTTCATTGGTAAATGGAATTCCGAGGTGATGAAACCCTGTTTACCAATCAATACAAGATGGCACCTTCTCTACAACTTAATATTCTTAGAAAGTTGCCTAGGGCACAGAGAGATTTAACACTTTGCTGAGTGACACACAGCTGGTATTTTTCAGAGACAGGAATTGAACCTAAGTTCTCCTGGCTTCAAGATCAGATCTCTATCCAATATGTCATGCTGATCACGTGTTATAGTCCAAAGGATGCAATGGATGCAACTTTTATCCATGGAGAGACATTGTGTTATAGTATACAGAGCGCTGGCCTTGGAGTCAAGATCTGGGTTTCAAGACCTGCCTCTGACACATACTAACCACATAAACCTTGGTAAGACACGTAACCTATCAATGTCTGAGGCAAGTCTCTAACTGGTAAATTATAAGGTTATGATGTTATAGCAGATTTTAAATTAAAGACAAATTGCCAATCTTCATTGGTGAAGGAACTTTTTCTATCACAGAACTATACAAAAAGGAAAAAAAAACCCTGCTCATAAGAAGATTTAAAAATCAGGGTGCAAATTGCACCAATGGCAAGCTCATGAAACTCCCACTGAAGTCTTGGGAATGAGTTAATAGGCTCAGAGGAATGAAAGTCCATACATCACAAAGTCAGGCTTGGAAGTATGAACCAAAATGTAGCAACATAAAAACTGGGTTCAGCCTCTTCCCTGTTTCAGAGAGAAACACAGAGTATAGAAAATGGGTCCAACATTCTGTTGTATTTGCCCAGTATAAATCATTACTCATCTTGGGCTTAGTGTACAAAGCATGATTTGCAATGCTGATTGTATTTCCCAAGTCCTCCAGTCAGGATAAAATCTAAATTCTCAAAATGTCATCACATTCATTGGGAGGAAAAACATAAATGACAAAATATCTTGCCATCTAGTATTAATATTATTTTAAAAGGGAAAAAGTGCCAATTAAGAAAAAGGGATTTGAGAGCTAAGGGACAGGCTACCTTTTATCCCTAAAAATGTTCTTGACATTTTTAGAGAATTCACATTGAGTGTACACTTTATTCCTTCCAAATTAATATTCCTGAGATTGCATATGGGAAACAACTGTTGAGAGGAAAGCTTAAATAACACTTTTCATCAAGTCACCCAGCTGCTCAAAACCCATCACCAGCTCCCCATTGTTCATAGGATAAAATCTGAATTCCTGAATCTGATGTGGATTGGGGCAACCTACCTTCCCAATCTCATCTTTGACTGTTCTATATAATCCTTTAATCCATACAGACTGGTTTCAAAATCTCTGGACCTTGACTTAAGGTGCCTCTGAACCTTTCTTCATGTTGCTCCCCTGTCCTCCTAGCACTTCCCATCCTCACTTATCTCTTAATCCCCAACTGAATGGAGCCTGCCATGAATAGCCTGCAATGATCTAGCCCTCCTGTAAATTCCACTTTCACTTACCTTGATAAGCCACTGATCTGACACATAAGCTGTACACATTACTGCCATGCATTATTTGTTATCTTTTTATGTATCTATAGCTTATCTTCTTAACTAGCTCCTTGAGGACAGGCCTCTAATTTATATGTCAGTCACTATGCCTGTATCAATGTCTCCTACAGCGTATTGCACACAGCATAATCATTGGGCTGTGATATTGAAGATATCCAGAGCTTGGAGACCATCTAGTCCAAACCCCTCTTTTGCAAAAGGGGAAATTGAGGCCCACAGATGTTAAGCGACTTGTCCAAGGTTGCATAGTAAGTTCCAGGAGCGGGATTTGAACCAAGGTTCTCTGACTCCAGAGCCAGGGTTGTTTCCACTCTCCTGTGCTGCCCCCATGTCGAGATTTAGAGCAAGAAAGGACCTTTGAGGTCATCTAGCCCAACCCCTTCCTTTTATAGACTAGCAAAATAAGGGCCAGAAAGCTTCCATTTCTTACCCAAGGCTAGAATTCAATCCCAGGAGCACCTTTAACTCCAAATACAGCACTGTTTCCACTATGCCACATTGCAATTGTCACTCAAAAAACACTTGTTGATTGAAAGAGGTAGAAAAAAATACTTTTGCAATTAGACAGTTACATAGAATACTACTTTTTCTAGAATCATATATTTAGGTTTTTAAAGGTCTCCTCATCCAGTTTCCTCATATTATCGAGAAATCTGGAGTTCTTAGAGGTTATGGGACTTTCCCAAGTTGACACAGGTAGTAAATAGTAGAACTGAGGTTTGAGTCTTCCTACTTCCTTCTTTTTCTACCACACCATCTTGACTCTTTTTCATCATCTGGTTAATGGAAGAATGCTGTTTCACTCAGTGCGTGAAATTGCTAGTGTTAAGGATGAGAAGTACTCTCATTTTTCTCTTATCACTCACTCTGTTCCCCAATAAGCTGAGTTGCTTTGAAAATGTTAGATCTCTGCTATAGCTGATAACTAAAAGAATGGCCATATTAATCTACTGCTGAGCAGACATATTCCATAATATCCTGCAAAATCTTGTCTTGCTTCTAAATTCATAGCAATTCTCTGAAACTGGGTTAGAGTGGGGCTTTTAAATAGGGGGAAACCTCTTTGCAATACTAAAATTGGTCAGTATAGTAATGCCCACAATAAAATAAGCATTTAATAAATGCAAATGTACCTTAAAACTATAGAATGCTAAATGCATAACTAGTCATTACAATTAGTTACCTATGTCACATCCAGCTTTTTTCTTAATCCTTGGGGGAACATAATTTGATTACGCATGTATGTGAGCTCTGCTCATGAAGTTAAGATACTAATTTTCATAAGCCATATAAAAAATTAATCTCTCTGATTTTCAATTACAATCTGCACAAATGCATATAATTATGTGTTTCAATGGTTTTACATGCTTTTAAAATAAAAACATTAAAAATAATTGTTATGATTATAGACCAAGACATAAAAAGTTCTGCTACTGAAGGTGTCTCAAGTATGAAACAGAAAAGCATTTTTAAAAACTACATGAGAATATACTTTAGGGCTTTTCAAATCCAGATCTGAATCCCAAGTGTTCCAATCCAGTTTTAAGTCATTGTGACCACAGAGATAAGGGATAAGAAACTAATGTTCTAAGTATCATCTCTGTTAGAATTGTCCTTGGGGTGTAGCATAATCTTTTGTCTGTCCTCTAAGTGCAATGGCACAACAATGATGCATTTCAGAACTCCTGGAATCATACCCTAACCTCCTCTGACAGTAGTCCTGTATTGTAAATATTTGTTTACATTTGCTCTAAGAAAAATGAAGTCATTCTAAATCACAGGAGATACACAAAAGTTCAAAAGGATTCCTAGAAATAGTTGTCAAAAATATCTCTTGACTAAATCAAGGAGTATTCCTTAGGATCCACTCAAATTTAAATCTAACAAGGCATCAAGATATGGTAGATGTCCTTGGTAAACTAATTGTAGATTTTATCAAAGTAAAACTTTTTCAAAAATAATTTTGACATTTGGTAAATCCAAATGTAGTCAGGTCTCTAGTTTATAGTGAAAAGACTTTTAGAAGTAATCCACAAAATATTATAGCCCCCCCCACTTCTAGTTCTACATTTTAATGAAAAGAAACCATTCCAAGTTCTCTCAAAGCATTGAGTGCCCTGTTTTGCCAGAGAAAGAGAAGTTAAAAAAATACCTTTGGAATCAAAAGTAACCCAATGGTGACTGTCACAGTCAAATGGGTATGTGCAAAAAATAGCATCAGCATCCAGTCAGACTGAAGTTTTGAAGCAAGAACAAATCTGAAATAAGAACGCATAGAGTTAGCAATCATCAAGACTATGACTTATGATGCTAAGCACTTTATGACTTTTTCCCCTCTATCTGGTCTATAAAATTCAATTCATGTTGGAGTCTACTTAAAAAAGATTCTGATGTGTAATTTCTTCATCTTAGAATGAGAAATAGTTTGACAAACATGAGCATATTTGCAGAATTTTCTTACAAATATAGGAAATTAGGATATTTTACTCATTAATTATCTCTTACTTTTGAAAAAAATAATGAATTCATTTCATAATTTGCCATTAACTTTTCAGAGGATGCTATTACATTATGCCTCAGTTGCATCTGCAAAGCGAAGGTGGGGAACAAAAGAGAATCCAAATGAATTATGTCTTATTAACTGGTAGTTTCAGAAACTCCAAAATGAGCAGCTTTCAAGGATGGACAATTTTAGAATAAAGCAAATCCAAATAACTCCTTGATTAAAATATTCTTTACTAAATTAAAGTCATTGAAAAATGCTAATCAGAATAAAGCAGTGAGAGAGCTGGTGGTTATCTGCATTTGTGTGTTTCCCAAGATTTAAATGGCAACCAATGTAATAGATGAATGAATGTACTACTGGCTTGCAATTTGCATGATTTTTTAAAAAGTCCATATTTAATGGGATTTTGAGTATTTCAGTTAACCAGGTTTTTAATTTCAATTTAAATATTTAAAAGAGATTTTTCTCCAGAAATATATGCAATTATGAGCCAGGAAAGACCTACTGGAGACATTGGCTTGTGTGCAGTATTTGCTACAGCAATTTGGGAAAATTTCTCAAGTTAAATCAACATCTGCAAGTACAAAGTAAAGCTGATTGCCACACCAAAGTAAAATCAGAATGGTTTTAATAATATTAATTTTGTCATGGTACCTCCCCTTTTAATATTTCTATATACAACCCCATTTATTCAAGAAGGTTGGGTGAAACAAAATTCTTATTGCCTTCTTGGCTCCTAGATGTTCTTTTCAGCGACATAGAGGGCTAACTGTCAATTTGGGCACTTAGAAAAAGAAACAAAAACATATTTTCAGGGCAAGCAGCTTTATCTGGCCCTCACAGGATTATAGAATCTTAGCTCTAGATGTGGAAGGGACCCTACAAGCCCCCTAATCCAGCCCCCACATTTTATAGATGAATATACTGAAGGCAAGAGAGGTGATGGGCCTTGTCCAACATGACACAGTGGCAGAGCTGGGCTTCAAACTCAGCTCTAGTGATTCCAAGGTCAGTCAACCCAATTTGGCACGCTTTCCTTTACAACAAAGAGACTTTGAAATTCATGAAGTGAACACAATACAAGAAATAATTCAAAGATATTGAACTAAGTGGAAGGAAGAATTCATTACTATTAGTATGTATGATATTAGAATACAGATATTAAATTTTTGTGTTCTTTAAATTTTGGCAGCCTATGGCAAAGGCTTCATTGCTCCACCCCACTTATGGCTGTGCAGTAACTCCTTCAAATGTTTAGGAAAGTGCAATTCATCCTCTTAGTAGTGATGATATTAAAATCCAAGAACAAATACGTATGTTACCGAGTCAAAAGGAACAAAGAACTGTTATCGTAATATCCTTCTTTGTCTCTAACTGTGGTTTTTTTTTTGCAAATTAAGAATAATAGCTGTAGACATTTAAATGGCTTATAATCATAACCATTAACGATAAGTTTTCAGCAAATGATATCTTCTTCTAGGTTGGAGCATGCTATACTTGGCACTTAAATAATGCCCCAGATTAAGTGAACAACATTCTTTTAGGTGTATTGGCTGAAGTTTAGACAATACATTGAGTCTACAATAAAGGAGAATCAGAAGACACAGCACAGATAATGTGGCATATCAATAAAAAATCCACCAAAATGACCATTTTCCCCATCCATCATGAAATAAAGGGCACATGACTCAAACCAGAGTGAATATTTATTTTGCTCTATGAGGAGATGAATTACTCCTTGCTATGTACTGTTACCACATGAATCTGGTGAGTAAGGTCCCTTTACAAAACAGTGTAAGTCAAATCATTCTTTAGAAGCCATACCCTCCATTGATGTCACTGGGGAAATAGGGAGGTGTAGGGAACAACTTGTATGGAAATTCCCTCTACCAATGAAGACAGACTTGTAACTTGTATGTAATTTATAATCTTAGAGAATTGCCTGGGCTACTGAAAGGTTACATGACTTACTGATATTTCTAGAGCTAGTATGTGTCAGATATTGAACTTACCTCCATGTTTATCTGAGCCCAGTGTTCTATCTTCTACATTAGGTTGCCATGACACTGAATTTATCATTGGGAATAGAAACTATCAATAATGTACAACTCTGAAGTTGCTGAAATTTGACTTCCATATTCATAATAATAATTAGCATTTATATTGGGCTTTGCCAGGTGCTCTACAAACATTACTTCGTTTTATTCTTGTAACAACCCTGGCAGTTAATTGCTATTATTTACTTCATTTGTACAGATGGGGAAAGTGAGGCACATAGCAGTGAAATGACTTGCCCAGGTCACCCAGTAAATGACTGAAGTAGGATTTAAATTCCAGGTCTCTCTAATTCCAGGTCCAGGATCTATTCACTGCACCACTTAGGTACCTAGTCATGTTGGAGGTCTAGCTGATATGATTTCTGATACTAAAGAAAATGAGATTACAGTAAATTCTTAAACCCTGATGGATCAAGATATTCTCTAACTTTGCAAAGCAATGGAACTAAAAATAAATTTCTTTAAGGAAAATATCTATCTATATAAATATATGTATATATTTTTAGGTACATAATTTTTAATTATATATTAGCTTATAAAGATTTTCATGCAAGCATCTTTACTATAACCAAATAAGACTCTAAAACAAGTCTCCTTTCTATGACAATCAGACTTTGAAGACTGCAGAGTCTACTTAGAAAAATTTCAAGTCAAGATTGGCTCCTGTCATGAATTGCTGAGCTTCCCTTTCCCAGCTAAGCTGCAAATACGTGCTAAAGGCCTTCAAGTTCATCCTACTTCAGGCTTGGCTGAGAGCCTAAACTATAGAATTGCTTAGCTAGGGTGGTAAAGAAACAGGGAGGAAAAATAGATCCCTGGCCTTCCCAAAGTTAAGTAGGATCAGTGCTTCAGAGAAGAACAGGATGAACAGAGAGAGCAGAACAGAGTGTGTTATGGGTTTCTCCATTCCTTCTGAAATAAGAGATTTGATCCAAATTCATCTTTCCTCCCATGTATCACAAATTTTGAATAGGAGAAATCCACATAAGATTTGAGGTCAGAATAGCTAGTCATACTAATGAGTTTTAAAACAGACCCCAAAGGAACACAAGTGTTAGTTACATTGACAGAAAATGAAATGTCCATTATATTAGAAACACCACTCAGCCACACTCAATCCTTAGAAAAGATGACTCTGAATAAAGGACCAGATTTAAATTGTTTTTGTTCTCTGCCTCCTACTCTGAGACTTCACAGAAAATATGAACGTGGTTTATGAGTAGTAAAGTAGTCCACATAATAAAAATGGCTTCCTAAACTCACACATGTATACACTCATTTTTCTTATATTATGATGGTCTTTCATCTATAACACATAATAAAAATACAATCAATATTATTTAATTTATTTTTATGTAAAATACTTTTAATTGTTTAGACTGACTTGCTTTCTCATGAAAGACATTAGGCAAGTCACTAAACTTTTATGATCCTATTTCCTTATATATAAAACGAGGTGAGAGTGGACTCAATGATCTCTAAGCTTCCTTCTAGATTGAAAGTTATGACCTTATGAAAAAAAATCAAGCAATAAGCATTTCTAAAAGACCTTCTATGTGCCAGGCATTCTATACAAAATGAATATTATATGTGAATGTATGTTTCCCATAGGAGGGTAATTAATTCAAGTAAGTGAATCTCTGAGGCATCTAACCTGAGATTTGGGCCAATTAAGTCTTTAACATTAATTCAGTTAAATTGAGAGTCATAAATGTAGAGTCCTTCATTTCATTTGATATGTTTGTCAAAGCAAATATCTGAGTCTCCCTTTGGCTATTTAGCATCTCACTTGCTGACTACTGTTTCAACCACTGATGCAGCTCTCTCTGGCAGGGACTGGGAAGATGTCTTATCTACACCATATACTGGAGGACAAGTGGCCTTATGGGTCTAGGAGGCTCTGAAACACATTTTAACAGTATTGATCATGTGTAGAAATAAAGGACTGAGCAGGTGAACAAAGGCTGGAAAAGACAAGTGAGGTTTACCCAAGTTCGCAAGGGCAGGGACTAAGTAATTTTTAATCTTTGAATGAACCTAGTACAGTGCCTTAATCAAACTGGCTGGTAATAGTTAACATTTATATGTTAGCTTACTATGTGCCAGGACTGTTGCTAAGCACTTTACAATTATGATCTCGTTTGTTCCTCACCATAACCCTATGACATAGGTGCTATCATTATACCTATTTCATAGATGAGGCAAACAGAGGTGAAGTGACTTACCCAAGGTCAAACATCTAGTAAGTGTCTGAAGTTAGATTTGAACTTGGGACTTTCTGACTCTGGGCCCAGCGCTCTATCCACTGCACCACTTAGCTGCCTTGCATATAGTAGGTATACGATAAATGTTTGTTGCATTGAACAGCAAATCATTGGTTAGAAAAAGGAAAATTCTGTCAACAGGTAATTGTGTTGCATCTCATGCAATTAGATTTATCAAGATTTTTTTTTTAATGGAATTGGTGGGAAATTTTTGGTGCTATGCAGTACAAGCCTCAGAGTTGAGTTAAGTTAAGCAAGCACAGCTGTCAGTCAGCATTGAACAAAACCTGATTCACAGCATCTTAGAGCTAGAGAGAGCCTTAGAGATTATCAGGGCATGGTGTTCTTGCCCTTCTGCCCATTCATTTGTATATTTGGGTTCAGATCTGGCTTCTGATGCTGACTGGCTGTGAGACTATGGCAAGTCATCTAACATCTCTAAGCCTCAGTTTCCTCATTTGTAAAATGAGAAAATTGTACCAGATGGCCTCTCAAGTCACTTCAATGTCTAAAAATATGATACTATGCTTAAGAACCTTCATTTTAAAAGTATCTTCCTTTTCAGCTATTTCTCTATTTTCAAGACATTTCAAACAATGAGAAAGAACCTTTTTTCACCACCATTTTCTGTCCTCCAAAGTAAAGAATTGGGAACGTTTAGACAGCTTTGTAACAGATTCGTTTTGAACCCCACATTGAAGCTTGCATTCAATTTTTTTTTCAAATATTGAACTACTATCAAATATATACAAGGGGCAAATCCTAATAAAATAACTGATAGAAATCTCCCTTTGTTCACCTCACAATGAGCAGCTCCCGCCTAACTCCCTTTTATTTCCACCACTGTAGAAGTGACATGCAGTACCAAGGGAAGAAGAATCAGGCTACATTCTCTTCTAAGAAAAGAAATGTATGTGTTGCTGAATGAAACTGTACATTATGTTCAGCTCATAAAGCCCAATTCTGCAACATTAGTGCATTCAAACACTGAATGAGATGCTCTTTTCTGTAGCAATCATTATGCATACAAACCAACACCTGTACATGTAAATATTTTTCAAATAAAATCTTAGAGCTACAAACTAGTATCCAGAACATGCATGAAAATCGACAACAATAGTTCACCTACATCAACCTGAAAATGTTCATTAACTGTACTGAACCATTGATTTACATGTATTTTCAACACAGAAAGAGAATTGACAAGTTTCAAAGAGGAAGATGACAATGGACACACCAGGAGAAACTGATTAGAGTAAAGAGTATAACTTCATTGTTCATTTCCCATTTCTATGAAAAGAAAAGTTAAACCAATCCTTAACTTTAAAAATAATACATATCTTTCTTAAATCTTTCCATTAGGAAAGCTATCCATTCTTTGACATTTAAATTAAACCAAGATACAGCAGAAAAACAAAATGAAATAGTTAAGTACTCATTCTACAGATTACTTGCCTAATTGTATGGAATATAGCAGAGATAATGAGCTCATTGTGAACTGCAACAGCCATATAACGTGGCTCATGAAATGCTGATGGGACTGTCCGAACTGCATAGCAGAGATAAACACCCCACAAGAGGAATAAAAATTCAGCTGTGAGAAGAACAGAAAGAAATAATTTACCATTAGTTTTGTAAAATGAAACAGAAAGTAAAGCTGAAGTTACTTAGCATGCGTTATAAAGTGTGTGTATAAGATACATACTACTCATTAGAAAAAGACATACATCATTCCACTCATATAGCCATGGATATGATCCTGTGACTTTTTTCAATTTTACTCAATGTACCATAGATTTTGCTTCATTTACCCAGGATGGTAAACTGCCACCTAGAGCATCATTTCTTACTACATAGAAAGATGATAGAAATTGGAAAATCAGTTGTGGATGTACTGAGGAGCCTGGCTAAATTCTTACCCAAGCTTGTTTAAGACTGCTGGTGTCTACAATCCAAAAGATGGCTTTGATGACTCTGATTGATCAATTTAGATGATAAAGCAATGAAGTCACCCAACTTGCTAGGTTGAGTTTTTTTAAGCTTGTGTCTGATTTGTAATAACTCACATCTCTTATCACATGCTGAGGATTATGAAGCACTTTTGTTGTAACAAGCTTATTATATAAAATGCAAGGATATTAAAAATCACTGAATGTGAATTTTGCAAAGGGCCAGAGGCCATTGAAGTCAAAAATGTGTGTGCATAAGAATCCCTTTTGCAACATTTCCAACAGGTGATAATTCAGTCTTTGCTTAAAGATTCCCAGGGAGCCAAAATCCACTATCTCCTAAGACTAAGGCAACCTATTTTATATTTGTATATACCTCTAGTCATAGTAAAGTTTCCATTTAAACAGAGACTCAATCAGGTAATATGATACATACGTAAGTAAGTAGAAATACATATTACATATATTTTAAATACTTAAGGGAATCTATGATCTCACCAACGAGGGTACTTCCTCCAAAGGGGACAGATTACCACCCATCTCTACTTTCATTTTATAGACGAAGAAACTGAGTTAAAGAGCAGTTAAGTGACTTAAATATATTCACAGAGCTAGTGTCAGAGGTAAGATTCAAACTTGAGTCTCCCCTGATTCCAAACCTAGTACTCACTCCATTGTGCCACATTGTTTTAGCTTACTTATGACAAATGAAGATCTCCATAACAACAACAAAGAGACATTAAGGTAGGAAACTCCCACTCAACACAGCAGAATACTCTAGTTTGAAGGAAAAAAAATCATCAGATTTTTCATGGCTTGGATGCTGAAATGTTGATCCCTGTATCCATGAGTCAAGATTTATCATCTGACAGAACTCTGGAGTACTTTGCTATCACATAGAAGTCAGGGAAAGTTCTCACATTTTCTGAAAATTCACTACATAGTCAAAGGGGTTAGATGATAATATGGAACCTTAACTCTGACCAAGTACTGAAGGAAAGAAAAACCTTACTGAGATTATTCAGTGAGATTTTGTTTGTATCAAGAGTATCCTTCACTCTAGGTCAGGGGTGGGGAACCTGCAGCCTCACCACATGTGGCCTCCAGGCCACAGGGTTCCCCATCCCTGCTCTAAGGTGTACTTCATTGGGTAGGGGAATTCACATAGCACATATGCTGCCACTCCCAACTTTCCCATTTCTCTTAATTTTATCCAATTTCTCCAGTTACCCAGGCTTGAAATATCAGTTATATCTGACTCCTTTCTTTTCTTAATACCTAAATCCAATATTTTTTCCTTTGAAATGTCCATATTTATTCATTCTTCTCTATTGCTACCACTCCTAATCAAATCCTTATTTTTACCCTCTCACTCTACAGTTTCCTAGTTTTTCTGCCCAATCCAACTCTACCCTCTCCCAACTATCCTGCATACAAGCTTAACATGCCTTGCGACATCTCACTGATCATCTTTCTTTATATCTTTCCCTATAGTTTTCACTTCAAATATGTTAACCTCTGACTTGATTCGACTGCTTCCACCTACAAACCTTTAGTTGACCATACCCTGAGACTGTCCCAGGAAAAAGCACACATGAGCCTATGTAGCTGATGCAAAGGCTTTCTTAGGTTCGAAGTGTCTATATCCAATTGCCTGGATGACTTGGCCAGATGCAGCCTCCTGCCTTGACTTACAAAATCTTGAGGATTTCTTGGATGTTGACTACTTATTTGAATCCCGATGATCAGATCCATTCTGATCCATTGCTTCTACATGTCAGCAATTCCTCTTGTTTATTAGGCAAGTAAAGTCATTTCTCCACATTTCTTTATGAGGTTAATGCCTAATCAAAGATCATCTTTCCATTATTCTCAAACATTTATTTAATACTTGCCTTTGAATCAGTGGCCAAAGTATAGTGGATTATTAAGAGGCTTCAGAGTCAGGAAGAAAGATATTCAAATCCTGCCTCTGACAAAAGCCATGGGCAAGTCACTTACTCTCTAAGTGCCTCAGACAACTCCCTAAGACTATTTTGAGAGCAAATGCCAATTTGCATTGATAGAAGGAATTTTCCCATGAAGGAGTTCCCTATGGCAATGAAATCACAGGTCATGGTCCAAAAAGTAAATGTGCTAGGCACTGTTCCAAATCCCCAGAAACTGGTAAACATTGAAATCCTATTGTGGTATAGAAAATAGTGTAATATGTGGCAGAGTTACATTTGCAGAATACTTTCTATCAATTATTGCTATACTTCTCTACAACTCCTTGTACAGAAGATAGACTAAGGAAAATAACCAGCGGGTTATTTATTGTTTGTCAATGGAGAGCTACCTTTAAAATATACAACAACAAAAAAACTTTCTCATAAGAGTTAAGCTCAACATTAAAATCATTTCATTAGCAACACCAAACAATACATTCCATCTGAGAAACAATTTATTATTCAAGGTAGCAATTAGGTAGACTAGATGTAATATGCAAAAGTTGTACTTGAGTAAAAAAAATCAGTTTCATATAATTAACTTCAGACTAACACTGCAATTTGTAAAGAAAATATGCAGATGTTACTGAATTTTGCTATATTATTATGTAGGAGTTGAAGTATGTGTTGTGTTTCCGTTTTTAAAAAATAATATTAATATTTTTGGTGTTAAATGATCCTGATGGGTAGTTTGGGTATATTAAAAAAGAAAGAAATGAGTTTATTTTTAAAGATGCAAATGAAGGTATGAGAATACCTCTGTGAGGGGAATTTTAGTTTTAAACTACAAATAATTATATGCTATTACAAAAAAAAATACTAACCACACTATATTTTGATTTGTTTTTTTGAAGCCATGAACTGAAATTTCAAGTCATCATGAGACAAACTGTGCCATCCAGTTAACACTGGCCTTTGACTTGTCCCATATACCCCAAGTTCATGACCATAGCCATTTTAACAAGGAAAACAGAGAGAATCATGCATCAGAATCTGAAGGAAGCAATAGAATCTTTCTATTGTAGCCCATGCTGTCCCAGCTATGGTGCACTGTGGTGTGTTATTGCATGGTAATTCTTCAAAAGTGAAAGTTTTGACACCTATCTCTTCCATTTCTTTCTCTGAAGTCAGAACATCACCACTGCCACCTTGACCGCCAAGTCTCTTCAGACCCTAACAAAGACAGTCCAGGACCCTGAATCCCAGAGTCTTCTGAATGACAAATGATTCTAGCCCAGAAGCCTGGGAAGCACGGTCTATAAAATGCAGCCTGCTGGCTACTCCTGAAGATGTGATAGCCACATTCATTAAAGACACAGAAAAGAAAATTCTTGCCACCAATGTTCTTTGTACTGTCAAATGGTTCAATATCAGAAACTGCTACGATTTTATCAGTGGAAATGACATTAAATGAGACACACTAACACTTTACTAATTTAACATAAGGACTATGGAAGCAATCCAACTTGCATCTGAAACCTTCTATGTGTATTCTTTCTCCTATCAGAATGTGAGCTGCTTGAGAGTGGGGACTGTCTCACCTTCCTATTTGTATCCAGAGAACTTAGCATAGTGCTTTGCACACTGTAAGTTCTTAACAAATGCTTGATTTGTCCATCCATCTGTCCATTCATTCACTCACTCATTCATCCATCCTCAGATGATATGCCAAAAGGAACTTTAGGCAGAAAACTTTAGCCTTGTTTTGGTGAAGTAGATAGTATGGTTGGCCCCCAAAGTGATGAAGACTTGAGTTCAAATTCCACCTCTGACACTTACTAGTTGTGACCTTAGGCAAGTTACTTAACATCTCTGAACCCTGGTTTCCCCACCTGAAAAATAAGGGGATTGATGTAGATGGATGCTAAAGTTTCTTCTAATTCCATATCTATGGATCCATAATCCATTCCCTGGGTATTTTAAAGCTATTACTCTTTTCTTCTTATACATTTTCCCCTGGGAGGTTATAAATTAGGTAGCTGAGAAGTTAATTTTTTTAAAAGATCCTATATTTCATATGAGAGATTATCAACCTTTCCTGCTATTGAACACCCAGAAGCAGTACTGCATTATGGTTAGAGAGCTAGACTCTGAGTTAAAAAGACATAGGTCTGAATCGAGCACTGAGTATTTACTAGCTGTGTGAATCTGGGCAAATTACCCAGTCTCTTTCATCTTCAATTTATTCGTTTGTCAAATAGAGGTTAAAAAATCTTTCTAAATCTCAAAGTGCTATATAAATGTCAGCCTTTATTATTACCTGTTTTGATACTATAAAAATTTCAAATAAGGATGTCATTATATAATGTTACTTGTCATATTGCAAAGGCTATATTTAATAAACATTTTAAAAAGCCTTAAAAATACTAGAGGATTTCTCAAAATCTAACATTTTATATTAAAATTTCTAATACCTTGTTTAACTCTTTTCAAATTGGGACACAATTTAGTTAGTCTCTCTTGTTTTTGTCTCTTTCTCTACCTCTGGCTCTCTCTGACTTTTGTTCTCACTTTCTCTCTCTTCTCTCTCTCTCTCTCTCTCTCTCTCTCTCTCTCTCTCTCTCTCTCTCTCTCTCTCTCTCTCTCTCTCTCTCTCTCCCCCCCCATTCATACACCTTGTTGTTGTCATTTTTTAGTGGTGTCTGACTCTTTGTGAA